CACCAGAGCCAACTTCGCGGATCAAGTTGCACAGAGTTTACAAAACAGTTTGTCGGCCTCGGCGAATACCGTATGCGTTTGACGTGGGTGCTTGAAAAGTGCAATATAAAAGTCGTATCGTACTCTAATTTATGCCGATGGGTTTAGATTAGTTGTTCCGGGTCGTGGTTTAGAGGGTTGTTCCGGGCATCTGGGTTTGTATTGATAGCACTTTGTTGCTGGCTCCCATAATGATGTCGGTGTTCGCTGTTGTTCTCATGTCTGAGTGAATAATACTGTTTTCATCCTCTGCTTTGGTAATTGTTTCCGCGTCGCATCCTTTTCGTTCTTTCGTAGCGAATTGCATCACCCTCTATTGGTGTGGGGTTTTTTTCCATCCACATCCTCTTTTGTCCTTCTTTTCAGTTGTATCCTTGATTTGCTGATGTCACCGAATAACTCAGCATGAAATTAGTTCAGTCGGTAGAGCGTCGGATTCAGGCGAAAAGTTTTGGTTTCAATGCCGGTTAGGTTACACGCTTTTCTTGTTTTTCTGGAAGGTAAATGAGTAACAGTTCATCGTGCAAAGAGAAGAGCAGACCAAGCACCGTGGTTGTCTTCTGGCAGTAGATTCATCCGTTAAAAATATTTGAAAAAAATGAAAACGAAAAGCAACAGTACCTCCGCTTGACGGCGCATAGACGAAGGTCAGCGCCTCTCCAAATGATAGTAGCCAGCACAAACCGCTCCCCACTTATAGGGCTGTAAGGGTGACCATTATGCCAGTGGTAACCAACTTCTCTTTTATGCGCCATAAAAGAACCATAATCTTTTTTAACACAACAGTGAGTAGTTTCTGAGACTCATATTTATACCGGGCCGTATGTGAATTGAATAAATCTCCTGATTCCGTTGTAGACCGCACGAAATACTGTATTTTGTGCTGCCAACCATCGGACAAAACGACACATGTTATGGTATTTAAGAATTTTACATACTTGTCGTTGCTACAGGATACAGGAGTAAGATATCGAAGTTGATGGACATTTAGGTAGCCAGAGGTTGTTTTATGGATGCTTAATCATACTGCCAATTTTCAGTCCATGTTTGGTCATATTTGACCATTGTTAATGTTTAATGTTAATAAAAGGGATTTTTCGTCAGTGCCCGTAATGCTTTATTTAGCATTGTATGTACTGTGCTTTATTTAGCTTTGTGCATGAAGAAAGCCTGGGATGTGGCAATGAGAAAAAATTGTATAATTGATAAACAAAATTTTGCATAAAGTTTTGTTGTTTAAAAAAGTTTTAATCGGAATCAGGCAATGCGTAGGTCGTTTGATAAGAAGCGTGTCTGACGACTGAACAGTTTTGAATCTATATGGTGAAATATTCAGTTCGCTGTTGTTTTCGTTTTAGTCATGAAATTCCACCGAAAGGTGCTGCAATGTTGGACGTAACGGAAAATGCAAGAAAGCGGATCGACTGTAAAGATCAGGTGGTTGTTGCGAGTGCCATTGCGGTGGCGACAGTGGCGGCTACGGTCGAGGCGAGACCACCAACGACGTTGGCTAGCGACTGCAGCGGCCAAGACCGTTTCGCTTCCATCATCGTTCCGGCAACGACCGTGCATGCGACCAGGGACGCGATGGGGAGGGTGGGAACGACTGCAACGACTAAGACAAAGACGAAGACGAAACTCAGCTTGTTGGTTCGCGATGGCCATGTGTTGAGCGCCGATCATGATGAGGTCGATCAACACACGAATCTGCCGCTGCCATCCGACTCCGACGGAGTGCTGCCTGCCGCGACAGCATCTGTCATGTTCGAGCTGGGACACCCCGATAGTCCGTCAATGGTGCTGCATCCAGATTTGCTTCTAAACACGTTCAACCTTAGTGCCAAACACGATGAGCTTAGTCTGAGGACGATTGCGAGCAACTTCATACGCACCGAAAGCGTAATGATTCGTGTGAAGCCAGG